GATGTAATTCTTAAAGTAATTGGTGTTTAAGGGGTATTTTCGCATAACGACGTTGCCTTAGAAACCGTGCTTGCATACAATGAGTGAATCAGTTTATTCTAGTTCCAAACCGCCACAGTTCTGTTTGTCTCGGTTTGTACGAGAACCCCGATCTCAGCATATATATATTGGCCGGGGCGGTGGGGTAGCCTAGTGGTTAAAGCGTTGGCTCGTCACGCCGACGACCCGGGTTCGAATCCCCACATGGGCACAATGTGTGAAGCCCATTTCTGGTGTCCCCGCCGTGGTGTTGCTGGAATATTACTAAAAGCGGCCGGCGTAAACCAAACTCAGTCAGTCAGTCAGTCAGTCAGTCAGTATATATTGGCAGTGTTAGTCAACAGTTAACCGAGAAAGAAGGTAATGATGTGTAGAGCGAGAAGGTAGTGCTCACTACCAGACCTCATGTTGCAGATCCGGCGTTATACAACTAACCAACCAGCCAGCCAGCCAGCCAGCCAGCCAACCAACCAACCATATTGCTAATCAAGCTATACGGGATCGGTGGTATAACCTAGTGGTTAAAGCGTTCGTTCGTCAGGATGAACATGAATTGATTTTTCAGAGAATACACGGAATAATCAATTAACTTTGAACCAACACTGCTATGAAAATATTTGAAGCTGAAAACATCGAAAAGGGCTGTAATAACCGCAAAAAATGAATGGAAAAGAACGCCTAAGTATAGTATGACCAGAAATTATTGAGAATTTTAGGAATATGTTTAATTGGATTTCTAGTATAAACAACCTTGACCAGCTATCAAGTGCTTGGTTTCATTCAAGAGAGACAACTCCGTTAATCCCCTTTTCATTAGTTTGTGAAGAGTTATCCCCCTTTGTTTACTTGCTAGCAGGCTATATTTTCAGTGATCCTCAGTATGGATGATTTAGAGAAGAGGAAGTTGATTTTAGAGTATTATAACAAGGACATCAGATCAGCTAAAGTGATTTCAAGTAGAACAGGCATCCCTTTGTCCACTATTTATCGTGTTTTGAAAAATATTGCAAATGGATATGGCACTGAGCACCAGGGAGACGCAGTTAGGCCCAGAAAATTGACTGTCGGTGACAGGAGGCGGCTTGGTATTCTTGTTTTTAAAACAAACGAAGGAGTTTAGAAAACTTAAGGCTGGATATGATTGATAGAGGAACTGCTGTAAGGAGACAATTAGAACTGAGCTGCATGCAATGGGTTGGCAGAAAAGTCGAGGAATTCCATCACCGAACATGAAACCTGAACAAAAGGAGCGAAGGTTGAACTGGTGCTTACAGCATAGAAATTTTAACTGGGACAATGTGATTTTCTCAGATTAAAGTTCTGTATGGCTGTTTCCTAATACACTGAAATTCTGGACCAAACAAACTGAAAAACCTTTGTATCAGCGCCCAAAGTACAATACGAAATTTAGCGTGTGGGGTGGCATATCTGTGTTAGGGACAACGCCCCTCTGTGTATTTGAAGGGAATATGAACAGTGAGCGGTACACAGATATTCTCGAGGGACATTTACTTCCGTCTGCTCACGTGTTCTATGGACATTTTTGGATTTCCCAGCAGGACAACGACCCAAAACATCGTTCAAAGCATTCACAGGCCTGGTTTCGGACCCTAAATATGACATTATTAGACTGGCCAGGCTATAGCCCTGACCTAAATCCAATAGAAAATGTTTGGGGACTTATGAAGGAAAGTGTCAATGAGAAAAATCTGACAAATATTGCTGAAATGAAAGAAGAGGTGGTCCGATATTGGGACAGCATGGACCACGACTTTCTAACTTCTTTGATCAGTATAGTATGCCCCGCCGCATTGAAGCCTGCATTGCTGCCCATGGTGACTTGACAAAATACTAACTGTTCACCTGTCTTTGAATCTGGAGTTATGTTCTGCTAATATTCACATTTAATACGTGAGTAATGAGTGAAAAAAAATTAAAAAATACAATCTTTAAATTCTCAATAATTTTTGGTTGTACTGTATCTTCTCCTATTGAGTTTTTTGTTTGTTTGTTGTTTAACTCCGCACTGACCAATATTTCACCTATATGGCAGCGGTCTGTTAATAATGGAATCTGGACCAGACAATCCAGTGATCAACAGCATGAGCATCGTTCTACGCATATGGGATACGATGGCATGTGTCATCCAAGTCAGCGAGCCTGACCACCCGATCCCGTTAATTGCCTCTTACGACAAGCATGGGTTACTGAAGATCGATTCGGGTCGTTTCTTACACACCCGTAGGTGAGAAACACATGTGAGAAAACTGGTATCACACATATGTGTGAGATCGATTTCTAATCCCGTGATTGGCTTCTCCATGGTGATGACCTAGGGTCAGGTTATGACGGACTACTTTCCAGATTAAAATTCATTGATAATTTACTCAAAAAAACACCTTTACACCTACCTGTTATTTTCACGATTTCAACATAAACAGGTACGTATACAATGAAACACAATTAGAATAAATATAACACGAATCTATTTATTTTCTAATTCCTTTTATTAACACTTGAGATTTCCAGTCATGAATTCAAAATGGCTCGAACAATCAGTGGTACCTGTGTAAACAATTATGTGAAAATCGCCATTAGAAATAAAGACCGGGATTCCCGTCGAATATTCAAAATGTACAACATTGGTACTTTTACTGTAGAGATGCGACAAGTGTCATGTATCGTCTTGCAAAAATACCTGACACGATAACGTCAGTGCCTGTCCATTGTGAGATCGATTTGCCTCGTTGTTTCTTTGATGCATTGATGAAGATGACATTTTTCACTGATACACATGATGAAGACCCACTTCCAGCTCCGGGATACAATGTGATTCCAATGTTATCAAATTCACCCATGACAATCAGAACAAAAACACACTCGTTGAAACAATGTATCAACATGGAACGTTTTGCAAGGCTTCATGCATGCAAATGGCGGCACACGTCCTTTCTATTCAATCGAACATGTACAGGAACGGTTGATCTACACGTAAGTCATTGCTCAAGATATTCCTCTGACGCATGATAATGCAAAATTTATGTCTTGAAAACATACAGGATGTAATCATCTCACATTTAATACTGACAACTCCGTAAAAGTACAATAGTTAGTGGATATGCGCCTTTGGAAAAACACTTGGGAGCAGGTTTGGACACAGCCCCTCGAGCAATAGATAACTAATAGACGTGGTTACATAACTAGTATACATTATATCTCCGAAACTCAATCACCGACTCGGTGGGGATTCCCTGTTACACAGATCGGACGTCGCAGATTTCGGATTGATATGACATTTAATAACTATCACGTGACTCTTTAATCTTGGCGTGATGAATGAAATGTGGTGAATGCATTGGTCATGTGTCTGTTTGTGATATCTGTTTTCAAATACATAAACCTGGAACAGATGTCGGAGTTATGATTATTTATCGACTTTTATCTTCAAAATGCTACACTTGACTATATGATACCTCGCATCGATACATTATGTCACCCATGTCGCGGCACTGTTAGATGAAGTGCGTGATCAAATATTAAGGCATTGTATAGCTAAGCAATTTTACGAAAAAGAAATTTTTAAATTTATTTCTGAAGCTAGAAATATTCATACGGATGTCAAAAGATCATTCTGATCATTTCCCAGGGCCATAAGGTAAAAAATAAACTGCATCACAAATCAATGTTACATCTTGATTTAAAATGTGTCTCATGGCTCTCAAATATTATTATCATCATTAACATTTTGTTGTTTTTTAAATATACACCTGTTGCACCGCCCAATTCTTTAATCTTTATGTAAGGTCGTGATTTTCTTGTTTAACTGATGGTTTAATCGTGCACTTAGCTATGTGACGGCGGGCTGTAAATAATCGAGTCTGGACCAGGCAATCGAGTGATTGATATTATGAACAAAGATCCTCGCCGTCCAGACACGATGACACGCAAACACGTAAATCACGGGGCATGACACATGGATCCAATTAGTCCCCCTTACGATGGGCATGAGTCGGATCATGCGGACCCGAAACCGGGTCAAGGTCGGGGCAGAGATTGATAAACAGATACCGTGATGTGCCGAATTATAATCAGTTATACAATCTGCTGTTATTATAACAGGAAGAAGGCTCTTAGTGTGGAAATAATTTTCACAGATTCAATATTTGAAATTAAATCGGTGAAAAACATGTATATCCTTGAAATGGCTCACCTTCATCATGCATATACTGACGTGCGAAAGAAAATATACACTCATGTTAGATGTTAGTTTACACCATCGGGTAGGAAATATAATGTTCTATATTTCTCTGTAATTTGATAGTCGTAGGTAGATCCGGGGCCGCACGAACGAAATTCACGCGCAATGTTTACTTTTCGGATCTTATGAAAATGTGCGTCAGAAAGAATGTCGGCATCCAGGGGTTAAACTAGTCTGTCATACAGACCCCGAAACAAATATATCCAAGAAAGTCCATGCAAGCCTAGAATGTGTGACAAGTCTAGATTTCCACAGTTTCAGGGCTCCTTTTCATTATAGTTTATGATTATTTTTTATGAACAGTATTTTTCTGTAAAACATTTTCATTTCTGAGGCTATATGTTAGTCAAGGGGTTAGCATGCATATGGGCACTGGGATGGCCGAGTGGGTAAAACGTTTTCTCGTCATGTCAAAAGCTCGAGTTCAATTCAAGATGTGGCTGCACTGTGTGAAGTCCATCACTGGTGTACCCCTCAATGATGGTGCTGCTAATAGCGTATAAACACATTCACTCACTAACATACCGCGGTTACTAGTATAATTAAGTTTGGTTGAATTTCTTACATTGATGGTTTATATTCGGAATTTTAAAGCTATTACTTTAAGTCGTGTCTTCTGAGACTAGAATATGAGAGTCAACGTAATTTATGAAAGATTCGCGTTTGAGGAAATACTCTAAAAACAGTGCGAATGCGCCTCAATTGTCACGTGATCGGTCACATGCCAATGTTTGCTCAAAATGGCGGAGGGGGTGTTAGGCGGAAGTGACGGATTTACAAATACAATCTCGTCAATCTCATGCGAAACTCCGCCAGCCCTCTCCAGCTCCTCATGGTTAGACAGTTTTACGGGGGACAGAAGTAGGGTCGTTCTGCCATACACTGGCGACCTATCAGACGACGACTTGTTAGATTCAGGTCAGACCGACCCCAATCTGACACCTGGTCTTTCACCGACAGCAGATTACAGATCTATGAAAAATGTCAACATGCCAGGCTCCGATCAGCACAGGAGAGCGAACTGTTCGATTAGCGTGGAAACTCCAGTGTTGGAAGGCAGCAACGGACGGCCAGTTGGAATCCTGCCAGATGTGCAGGTGGTCGGCAAACAAGAACACGGTAGTTTATCTCAAACCGCAGCACTGGTGACTGGCGCTTCTGCATTCGCTGTCAACGGAAATAGACTCGGCCAAACGGCTGTCAGTGAGCATGAGGTGCCTGTGAGCCACAATCCTCATCCCCAACATCGGAATACACACTGTCACATGGGACCTGCGGGAAGCAGTGATAAGTTGGCCCGGAATCAACTGATCACCGTTGTGGTACTATGTCTCTTGTTTATGGCAGGAGAGGCCATAGGTAAGTTACTAGACTAGTAAGTTACCTGACTCGCCTCTTTTTTATATATAAACAAATAAATCAGTGTCATTTGCATGCAAAGTAAACATGATCGAACTTATTTCTTTTATGTCAAGTTCATTTTTATGGTTTGACATGAACTTAATCAGTGAGTGTGAACTTGATTTGAGAAGAAAATCACAGTGATTAATCTTATTAAGTTTGGATAACAGTTTAAACTGATGCAGGTTGCAAATTGAGCAGCTGGTGCAGTGAACTAGCCCACAGGTGACCACTTACCTTTCTGCACATGCTGGTTTTGTGTTTTTCTCTGGGTTATGTGAATAAGCTGTTCAGTATCAGATCAAAAGATCCATGTTTCATATCCCATCACAAGAATCAGAGATTTGTTTGGCAGCTACAGATAAGTTATGAAATTATCGCTTGACGATATTTGTGACTTCATCATCTACATGAATCTGTAATGAGTGGGTTGGGTTTAACTTGGTTTGGGAAGGACAAACTGTAAACATGAGAAATTGTCATCCTAAATGCAAGATATGTTACGTGATGAAAATGCATTTGCACAATTTGAATTTAATAATTAGGGCACTGTCATACACTGATATCTAAAACCATGATGGAACACCCAGGTATGTGGTCTTAAATATTGGGGTGCCAGTCAAAATGTTCCAGCTGATTTGGTTATAATGGTTCACTGGTTGTCATCAGACAGGTAAAATATCAGACTGAAACCGAAATGACTAAGGCCATGTATTTAGTCAGATGTACAAAGTATGTGTGTACAGAATAGAACTACACTTGTCAAGTAGAGCCCAGTGCTTAATGGATTATATATGGTAACTATTGTCTCTTATGAAGAATTCTCAACATGCCTCAAGCCTCTATCAGTTTTCATGTGTCTGTATTGAAAAATATCAGTCAGTTCGAGATGTATTTCTTCCACTGTAATATTCTGTCCCTTGTGTATACTTTCAAGAAAAGGGATTGTAAATGAAGAGAGCACATTTTCATTATCACAATTAATTAAGATGAACACCTATGTAAGTGTGTAAGCTACATTCTTATAAGCTTGCTCCAAGAGTGAATTGACTGGTCATATGGAATTCACACACTTGAGTGTCTGTGCCATCATTTGGTGTGATTTGTTGATTGATTGCTGACGAGGGGACACAGGTGCTGATTGAACTAGGGTGAACAGTGAGAATTGACATTAATTAGAATAGAGTGAAGTTTTGTCTGATATACAATACAGAATTTATTTGTCAGGGATTTAAAGCAACAAGAATGATGGTACCCCATGGCCCTTAGTATGGTGATCTATTGGATATTGTGTTGTCAATAGTTTTAGATTTACATGCTAGTTTTATGTCTTTATCTGTGATATTTTAGTTTTTTTACTGTCCTTTGTAGACAGGTTTTTATGTTCGACTTAATGTGTCATGAATGTATGACTTGTTTAGTTATGATGAGGTAAAAGGTCTTAAACTAGTCTTAACCCAAGAATGATGGCTTCAGTGCGTATGTGAATGTATAACTATGTGTGCAAATGATCTCAAATGAAAGTTTGGATTTATGTATGTTTGAAAGTATATGACTCAAGCATGGACAGCCAGGTCATCTGAGGTGCTGCATTCTGATGAAGAGAGTTGCATGCCGTGGGTACACCAGAAATCTATAAGTGTCTGTTCGAATCATGCTTCAATCTGTTCACCGTTTTAGGTTTGTCAACACCTTCTGTGGAATTCTCAATATAAAACTGAAATGCCATGATGTGACTGGTATACTGTTCCAAACAGCATTTAACTCACAAGGAAGAAAGGATCATGACTACAAAATTCAAGTGAAACTAACCAACTTGTTTAAAGGTTCTTGAGAGGCATATAGAAGTTAGTATTCAAGTAAATATATTCAAAACCAAATATTATGGATGTCAACTTCTTCTTATTGTATACACACAAAGGGGCAAGGAAAAGCCCAGAAACGTTCTGTATACAATGAAGAAGTAGTGGACATCCATAATATTTTGTCTTAAACTTGTTAAAATTTTCAATCTAATATTTTACTTGTCCATTTGTCTAACATTTTGAATTAAGGACCATTATGACTATATAGTACTGGTTGATTAGTACCGGTTGACTGGTACCTGATGTATTCATTGGTGACCGGACAAAATCCACCTCTTCTTAACAAAAAAATGGACAAAATCCACCCTTCTCAAATTGCTATTGTTAAAAGTTTTAGTGTGTCCTGATCTTTGATCAAGTTGTTTTTCTCAAGCATTGCAAGCATTGTTTTGATAGCATTTACTTGAATATGTACGGGGTTACTACTGCCAGACATCTGTACGTTATTTATGAACCTGTACACCTAGTGACACATCACCAACTGTATACTGTTGCACGGGCTGGTGCTCAATCATTTTTCGCACATGGTATAAATGATAAGTGACAACAGCCGTTGAAAATGCATGTCTCATCTGAATAAAAACACATGTATCAAATGATGGTATAGTGAACTATGTTAATATGAACATGCTTATAACAGACAGATGGAGACAACATACTTTGTACCCAGTCACTTGCTTTAACTCATTAAGCCCGAGAGCCACCTCACTACTCAACACCTGGAACCCCTCGCTGATTGCCCACTCGTTGTGCAGAGACTAATTAGTGCTAATCACACCTGACTTCCCTGGCAGGTTTCAAGGATGACAGGAAACTGTCTAGTCGTACAAACAAGTACTGACTGTTTAATTGTGTCGTAAAGATATATGTTGGAAGAAAGCAGGTGTGAATACATATTGTGTATTGCAAAGTTTTATGTAATTTTATTGCAAGCTTCTCTTGTAGACCTTTGGCCCGGACATTTATATTTTATCACCATTTGCATGTATTCTTTGTATGTAAGAGATGAGACACACATAAACAAATTCTCCCTGTCATATCAGTGTGTGAGGTTTAAATTTACAAAACAATCTATGACAATGACATACTGTAAAGAAGAATTTACTTACATACTTTATCATCTTCGACGAAAATAGCTTTCAACAAGAACGTAACTACATATGCATTCTACCGGAGGCTGTTATTTCAAGGTCGAAAGAGGTGTTCAATTATCTCATTACTCTTATCTGATTGAATGATTATACGCATGTGTATCGATACCGTAGCTGATATACTATCCAGCTTTTCTTGACAATGGATCAATAGAGACTGAGTTCATTGATACATGCGATAATTACATCGGATTTGATAATTACAAAGATCAAATACAAATGTTTTACACAATGCTCATGTAAAGTGCTTAGAAAACTTGAACAAAAATGCTTGAAATACCTTTGAATGGTTTACATGTAATAACTTATGATATTACTGCTGTCTATGTGTGAGAATTTTTGAATTACCAACTTACTGTGTTTTGTAACAAACGTAGTAAAAGATTTCATTGTTGTAATAACACTGACATGTATATATATTCGATGCAAAGGCGCGATATTCGATTAGGTAACATTATCAACTTTAGATTATGGAAAATAACTAGTTTCAATTCAGTAAGCTTCAAATTAGTAAGTTAAATTATATATAATCTATTCGAGCTTGGATGTATAATTATTTGTGTTTATACACTATGTTTCATTATATGAAACATGACAACGTAATAATACCTAAAATATATATTCAAACTATTCTATTGTGTTTGAATTCTTTATATGTCCTTGAAATTTTGCATATTGTTTCATATTTATAAGGAAGTTGAAGAAAATATAATCTTCAGTAACTTCTAAACCATTACATCTAATTCAATCAATGTGCATACGAAGTATTTTAGTATGAAGAATACCAGACACTTACCTCTGTAAAAACATCAAAATCCCCTTTCTCGCCGACATGTGTTCATTTGCCAAACGCTGTACAAGCCTATGATAATGATTAGCAATTGCTATCAAAACACTTTAAATACTTCTTCTGATTGACACTAAAGGTTGCATCTCTCATAAGAAAAGCTAATATATGCTCAGTACTACTAAATTGGTTGAAATGATAGGTACAGTACGATTGATAAAAGTACAACACACATGTGCGTCTCTCGCTGAATAAGAGGTGCTTTCTGCTGACGAATATATGTGGCTCTTGCTGTGAGAAACTGCCAATTACCTGCCCCCTTAATACGTCACTCGCTGTGAGGAGCTGATTAATTTGCCCCATATATGCGGCTCTCGGCCTTAATGAGTTAAACATGTTAAGGTGTTAGTTGAAATGTGTATGAAGAACTTAGGTTTCAATGAACTTAAAAATCAGAGGTCCCTTGCAGTTCCAAATAACAGTACTTTACTGTAAATGCTTTCTTGTTTCAAGGCTTAATGAAGTAATGTGTGTGACTTGTGAGTGTGTGTGTGTATGTGCCTGTCTGTCTGTGTTTGCAAAAGGAATGACTGGTAAATTCAAGATGGCAAATAATTGTTACAATTATCCATTTATATCTATTCTCATCAAACATTGTAATGATGTACTTAATGCACACACATTTCTGTAGAATCTACTTAGTCTTTTCTGGACACTCATCTTTATGTATTAGGTGTTCATAATGTCCATGAGGTACTATTAGCATTAACATGGTGAATAGTGATTAGGAGTGATTTATCACATATACTGAAGAAAATAACTGTGGAAGTTGGAATGTCAAGTACTGTTGCTGGTCGATATCTATTTATGGCCTTTCAGTTGGTCCATTGTTGTTGTTGTTTATGTTGTGCTTGGTGCAGTAGGCATCCACTTGCTTATGAAGCGGGTGTTTCCACTTGTGAATTGCTTAGGGCCATGACTTGAACATTGGCCTTTGTCAGGTTTGCTTTGAAAGAATGCCTTTTGAAACATTTTAATTGGGCTGGGAAATGAATGTTGTCAATGGGAAGAATTATGAACAATTATTGATGTGAAAACTCTGTCATTGATAAAATCAGAGTTCATACATTAACTATTGTGAAGAAATGCAGTTTAAATTGGACACACAGTACAGAAAGTCTTTATTCATGTGCTACTTCTGAATGATGTTCACGCTGCTGTGTTTGTTAGTTACTGGACATAAACGTGTCACCCCTCACCAGTGTCAGGAAATATGTTAATTTTAGAGGACTATATTACATTATTTCCTCAAAGGTTCCTTCTCCAATATCTGATAACTGATCAATATTCAGTTAGTGATTATAGATCTCTATACTGATAGCTAGTCCTGATTTTAGTACAGTTCATGAAGTTGCATGTTGTCAAGTTTCCATGTTGCTTCTGGAATATATATTGACAATAACGTCTAACACCTAATCAAGTTAATTAGGTGTGGGTACCCTCATCATCATGTCTACAAGAATGGATATACATTTTCCTTTTAATGGATGTCTGTATTAATGTACAAATAAGGCCTGACACCCTAGTATAGATCCTTGTCCAAGTGACAAAACATGCAGACACTTTAGGAAAACACAAGCAAAGTTATTAAATGAGTTTCAAAAGGTATTGCTAAACATGGTCAGGGGTGGAAATAGCCCATTGCCCGACGTCCGAGTCCAGTGTTTTTTTCTGTCGGGCAAGCAAATTTGTATATCACACTGTAACGGTGTCCAGTTGACTTTCCAATGTTAATTATGTTGTTTATTTAAAAAATCAGCAAGAAAAAAGTCGGTATACTGGAAAAAATATCAGGGCAAGTGACTTTACATGTGCCACTATACCAGAGTACACTATCAATTTTAAAGTTAATTCCACCCCTGATGGTGATAATGACAATTAAAATGAGATTAGAGGTATAGGTGAGTGAATGAGTTTAGTTTTACGCAGCTATCATGATAAGGGTCTTGGGTCCGGGTGATGGTTCCGGTGAAATGGGGTTTTACGCAGCTAACATGATAAGGGTCTTGGGTCCGAGTGATGGTTCCGGTGAAACCCCTTATCTAACTGGCGTCCTGGTCTGCTTGGGGGAATTAGCTTAGCAAAGAGTCTGAAGTCACAAGAAGCTAATTACAATTTTATTAACAAGATCAAAAATAACATGGGATGGCCACAGAGAGTGGCACAACCCTCTGGGCTGAGGGCTAGAGATGATCTGTGTTGGGAGTCTGAACCCTACTGACAAAAAATCGAAGTTGGTGACTATTTATCTAAAACTGAAACAAGGAATAGATTATGATTCGTTGACTGATACAAAAATGGATGTAACCTACAATAACCAATGAAATACCGAATATACAAAATGGGTTGTGTCCTACAAATGAAATGACCAGACAGGGAGAGTACTTAATCCTGCTAATCCTATTTCAACTGGCACTAATTGTGTTGACACATGTCCTGGAAGCTTCCTATTTCAACTGGCACTAATTGTGTTGACACATGTCCTGGATGCTTCCTAATTTAACTGGCACTAATTGTGTTGACTTGTTGCTTGGATGATCATGGTGCTGCAATAGATGGCTCAATGACCCTAATTTGAAGTGTTTGCATAATACATGTATATTTTAATGTAGGTGATGACATGTTTACTTTATCAAAGCAGTTCATTAAATTGTCATAACTATATTTTTTGAGTCCTTGAAACCTTAGGATAGGATTTATCTTGAACATCTGTGAAACTGTGCAGCCGTAACTTATACCTTTGTCAATAGTATGTCTGTGAGATGAGTTTTACTACTTTTGACTGGAGTCTTCCTCTAAGCTATTACTGATACATGATGAAACCAATATTCTATATTTATACTTTCCCAATATCTGAATCCTAATATATCGCTTGTAGTGGCTACAATTAATAATGAATTTTCTTATGAATTAATATTCCATGATACAGCTTTTAGAAATATTCAAGCAATATCACTGCCTGGGAACACCAGATACGGGCTTCACACATTGAATCCATGAGGGGAATTGAATCTGGGTCTTGAGCATGAATCGCGAACACTTTAACCACTGGGCTACCCCACCTCCCATTACAGTTGTGGACATAATGGACTCTGATTATATTTGATAAATTTGTCACTGACATTGACACTCATTTACTGTCACTTTTTGTACTAAACCATGAAAAGGTTTTGACAGAAACTATGTACTTGTTAAATCAAGATGACAGCTCCAGAAGTGTCCAGAATGTATTTTGTGAAAGTATACCACAGGGCACTTCTTGTGATGTCTTATGTGCTCTTTGAAATTTAAGTTTGACAACAAGAATTCTTTTGATCCATCTTCAAAGTGAATGTGATTTCATCCTGAGCAATATATAACTATCAGCTGGGACTTAGACAGTTTTTGTTTCAGTAAGATAGGTGGCACTCTGAATTGTTTGAATTTCTGAATCCCTAATTATATTTGTGAGTCATTCATTATGCGTGCTGAACGTGTACAAACTATGTTCACAGGGCTCCAGAAAATTCTTTATATCACTTTGTATTTACTCAGAAGTAATCATTCACACTGGTTATTTTTGTTGGGGTATTCAATATAGATAACCTTTCTATACAATATATTGCTTTTAATGCTATTTCATGTGTCCTGCTCTCTGTATGTAACAAGTTGTATATACATGATAAACTTTCAACAACAATATACATGTCTAATTAACGTGATGTGGTGCCTATTTTATACATGATTCATATGTGTGTGAAGCATGATTTCAATCAGTACATAATGAATTGTAAAATACATTTATTCCAGCAGAAATGGATACCTTCTCTAATTTTACTCTAGTATTATATTTTACTGATGACTGCGCCAGAATTAGTCCCGCTATATTATTGTGCATGTTTGAACTTGATCACCGGGAAACGTGTGCACAGCTGATTGTACGATAAATGTCATAATGACTAATATGTAATAAGATGTTGAAATAATGAAAACGTACAGGTTAATATGTAATTTATTCATCATTCACAACATAAACGCTGTATTCGTGGCAAACATCCTGGCAGATGTACCGGTAACCTGTAACATTGTCCTGGTAGGGCACTGGCGAGCTAAAAAATATTTCCGTGAAATTGTATCTCATAGGTAAGACGACCCCCTTCTACAGACATATTTTTTTGGTCCTCAAAATTCGGCTTATAGACGGTAATATACGGTATATTACAATTTACATCACTTGTGAAATGTTTCATCCATTTTTGTACACTCGTGACTTAAAGTTAATTGGGTAGCAGTGATTTACTTTGCAAATTGTATCTGAATTTGAAGCTTGTGTGGAGTTTTATGTACTTCAGGTGTTGGTCAGACATTTTTTGCGAAAGTTAATATGTCACTATCTCGTAATCATGATAATAAACATTGCCAGCAGATGTTGTTCAGGAAGTGTTATTTCTAACATGGCTGGGTGTGACCTAGAGGCACCAGGAACTTATATTCACCATTAGGGGTTGGTATTGCAGAGAATTTTCAAATTGCGATATATTGCGATGCGAAAGCATATATTACGATATGTATTGCAATATATTGCATGAAGTATTCTTAAACAAAAAACTACTTATAATCGAGTTAATGCTTGATTTTATAAACTAAAACACAACAAAATCACTGCGCTTGATTATGCTTTAACAACAACTTTCAGTCATAACAAAATAAAAATGTAAGTAATATTTGGCACAAATGAAACAAGGAAATATCCAAAGATTTCCGAGTGTTACGAAGTTTTCCGAATGCATGTCAAAATACCGGTTTTCGATCAGTGTATCACAATACGTATTGTTTTCATGTCTGAACCGGTAATTACCGGTAAAGCGGCTTTATTGCGCAGCCCTATTTCGATCAGAACATAGTATTTGACAAAATGTCAAAGTGCAACTGAAAATTACCCTGTCACCGTGTGACTGCTATGGAGAGAACGCCACTTTGTGTCTTCCAGTTTGCCACTTCAGTGAGCATGGCGAGAAGGGCATATTGATTTGTCATTACAAACTGGACAACGTGCAAATGATCTATACCAAGATAGGTATGTAGACTAAAATATATACAGGAACTTAACTACAGTTGTAACACATTCAGAGGAAACACCACATTTAGTCCTTTAAAACCACAGTTTGTTATACACATTTCAACTAAAACATGACAAGTGGTCGGGGCCAAAAATCCAGTTTGTTATAACTGTCACTTCATGACATAGTTTACTGTATTCCAAATGGTGTATGCTGTCAACTCAGTGTGGCTGGAACAATTTATACTAAATTTTATTATTTTAAAAATAATCTGGAAATTGATTAGAAAGAACTTTTTTACAGTAAAGCAATTCTTTTGTTTAAGGCCAAATATTTAATATTGGGGACAAGAAAAAATTCTTTTCCACCCAATTCCCAGGCCCAATAGGAAGATAAGTTACTTTATCCTGAAGCAAAGTGTAACATTGCTTAATACATAATGACCTGATATTACCTGATTCACTGGGCAAGTCCTCAACTGGCCTCTAACGTACCATTCATAGGTAGATTATTGTCAGTTCTCATTCAGTGTTGGGAGTGGATTAAGTAAAACAGCCTGGGGCCACATCGGCTACAGCATGTGTTTGGACAAGTATTACTGTTTGTAAAGTACGGTACCACTCAAAAGAATTCAATATGAAATTATTTTTTGTGATTCGTCTCAATTGTGATGGGTCAGACAACTTCTCCATAGGCCATGTCTTGTGATCTTTGTCATCCCAGTCTAAAAGAAGGATGGTCGCCTCTGGAGCTAGTCATATTTCAGTTTATTACTTAAGCCAAGATTAATTTCTGAAAAGGAATATGACTGGTTGACCTTTTAAAGGGTCACTAGAACAATTCCTCGGCAATGTGGCTTTTGTTCTTGTTTTTGTCCTTGGATACCTGGATGATATCCTTGGATACCCGGATGATATCCTTGGATGATATCCTTGGATGATATCCTTGGATTCTTGACTAGTCTCGTGACCTCCGCTGCACCACTTGTATGCATATAAGATAGCGGAACTGCTATCTTCACAAGATGAAATACAGTTTCATCTTTGCATTAAATATGACATGTAGTCATCTTTGTGGCAATTAACAACAAGTAACATTTTAGTTACTTTACAAATTGACTGTAAAATAAACCTATCTGGTTTCTCATGGTAACAATTCCAAATATTTTGAAGTACAGTTTCATTTTCCAGTGACTGAAAAGAAAACAGACATCAGTGTATGTTTATATAATTTTGTGGATTATATTCGCAGCGTTATTAATCTATTGTTCGATGTTTGTATGCACTCTGGAACAGATAACTTAGTCTGTTTTAGTCAGATGTTTTAGTGAATTAATACAATTCACGTACTGTAACATCCAGGCATGTCATGAATTGTCTACAAGTGAATCATACACAGTTGTATATGTCACATATACAACTACAACGAATATGCATGTGACAGCAGTAACTTAGCGTTGTCTGTCTCACATCAAAGAACCTTCTGACAAAAGCGTAAATGAAGTGAAATATTCTGTTCAATTCTGCAACAAATGAATGAGATATGTATCTCTAAATATTTTTCATTATCCACCTAAAGACACAATATCCCTTGCATCTGCAGGTGACAAAGATACCTGTTTGATGTCACATGTCTTTTAACAATCTAGTATTGTAACATGTACACTGTGTGTTCCCTGGTATTATAGCTTGTGGTCATTTCCTAACTGGTCACATAACTTTCAGGTGTTTCACATGGGTGTAAAGTCTAATGGGTCAGCTGAAAGTGCAGTCATGACAACTATTTTCAGCATATCCACGTTTCTATTATTAAAAACACATTTAGTTAAATAACAGTGAGCAATCGGTAAAAGTATTATCAGCTAATCGTTTGAACAAATGACGTTGTTTTCAGTCACACAGGCACTTAACGACTGGATATGGCTGTATTCTGTCTGCTTCAGTAAACTTACTTTCATAAACACTTTCAACATATCCACTGTGCAAGATAACGGTCATTAATCAATCATCACTACATTGTCACTTGATTCTTTGATCACTGTTTTTTGGAATATCAGCTTGTAATTCCTCTCTAGCCAAGCTTGCATATACATATTACATAACATGTAATACACTTGCCACATACCACCTCAATTTATAAGAATAATTACCCAAGAATCAATTGATGCCAAATGGGAACCTTTGTCAGGTAATTTGGGAGGTGATACTACTTATTATGCCTGTTATAAATTTAAAAAAAGTGATTGTCAACAAAGAAACGTGTAGGTTTATACTATCATGGAATAATAATTCATACAAAATTCATTATTCATTATTACCACTACAAGCAATATATTAGGATTCAGATATTAGGAAAATATAAATACAGAATATTAGTAATAGCTTAGAGAAAGAATCCAGTCAAAAGTTGTAAAACTCATCTCACAGACATACTATTGAAAAAGGTATAAATTACGGCTACACAATTTCACAGATATTCAAGATAAAATCCTAGTCTAAGGTATTGAGGACTCAAGCTGTTAGCAATCCTTTCAGTAATTCAGAGTTATGACCAGACGATTAAATGAACTTCTTTCATAAAGTAAACATGTCATCATCTATATTACAAGACTTTAAGCAAACACCAATTAAGGGTTATAAAGACATGGCCCACAGTGAATGCATCTATTGTAATCCAAGCACCTATAATTAACACATCAGATTAGGGTCGTTAAGATCTAGCCCAGGGTAAGCATCCAAGCATCTAGTAGAAGTGCCATCGAGATTAGTGCCAGTTAAAATAGGATTAACAGGATTAAGAGCAATGGCCCTGTCTGGTCATTGAAGGACACACCCCATTTTGTATATTCTGTATTTGATAGGCTAATGTAGGTTACACCCATTTTTTGTATCAATGAACCAATCGTTATCTCTTTATTGTTTTAATTATAGATAAAAAGTCCCTAACTGCATTTGTCCAGCAGTAGGGTTTAGACTCCCAACACAGGTCAGCTCTAGCCCTCAGCCCAGAGGGTTGTACCGACTCTCTGTGGCCACCCCTTGTTACTCCGTTCTTGTAAATAAAATTGTGATTAGCTTCTTGTGACTTCGGACTCTTTTGCTGAGCTAATTCCCCCAAGCAAACCAGCACGTCAGTTAGATAAGGGGTTTCACCGGAACCATCACTTGGACCCAAGACCCTTATCATGATAATACCACCAAATATGGATGACAACAGTGGTGTAGTAATCATTGTAGTGTATTCAATGTAGTTGCCTGAAAAACTACTGGGTCGTTGCTGTTTTGTGAATATGAGCTGTGTAACAGATACACATTTACCTCAATGGTTTGTGTCCTATTTAAGCAATGGCAGAATGGGTTTTAGATTATGGTCTCAAATCAAATGTGTATGTTCTATTCTACCGGTTAATTAGCATGACAGTATTTCATAACATAATTAAAGGTCACATGCAACCAAAAAATCAAACATAATTAAAACACAATTATCACTTATTCATGACATATAATATACATTGCTGGTTATGAAAAAATATATAAACAAAATTATAAGCGTACAATCGCAAATCAAAAGTGCAATATTTTGTACTTGGGTTTACTTCCCAAGAAACGAAGCAGCCGGGATACCGAACCCAGTCAGAGCGGGTGGGTGTGCACTCAAGTGTAAAGGGTGGTTCATTTGCAGATGCCCTCACGGCTCATTGTGTGTGTATATACCGTATAGTAATGTTGGGTTTTGTAAATACATGCTCATTTTTTGTGTATAACATTTTGCAATCAACAGACATCATAACATGTCATGTGTACAAGTATCACACCTGCCTGTCTGTGTAATTACATAATGTGACAGAGACCGAACTCGGGCCATAAATCAATGCATTTTGTTTATGGTGTATAGCCTGATTGGTGTTAAGTTCAAATTGCATGTGGTCAGTGATCGAAGTTGTGTATTGAGTATTGTCATTAGCAGATGGGCAGGCAGACAATTAGGTGTCAATAAAACAGACATTGAGTTTTGTCTGTGACAACGACATGTCTATATCACAGTTAAAAATTCTGTCAACGCTAAATAATGACGTTGCTTTCAAGCATCGAACTAAGAAAGTGACTCGGTAAGAAGAACGTGTGGTGAAATAGACAAATGAAATTATATAAACAGTTAAATCAGTAATCTACTGTAATAACATATAAAAAGCTTGCGCCTGAGAAATATAAAAAAACCATAGCTCACACCAAAGCCTTCACCGAGTATTCACCAGACAACCCACTTCCAAGCTGTGCGAACCTATTTCACTGTGCATGTGCTATGAGCGCAGCCCAGCTGTTGAAACCACTTCAATTCCCCCAAGCGCTTGGGGAAAATTAGTGAATCGTTTCAACTATGATTTCACACGTTTTTTTTCATCGCATTATTATTCAACTTTATGAGTTGAATTTGCATTTTTGATGATTTGTTTCGGTAAGTCCATACCAAAAGGTATCAGAATCTGCAAAGTTGTGTTTTACGTTGCA